TTTAAGCATGGGAATAACCTAATATAATTAACATTCAGAATTAAAGATGGTTGAATTAGTCAGGATATTCTAGAGAAACAGAACCAATAGGAGATATCTCCATCTCTTTGTCCATCTCTATCTCTTTATCTATCTGTCTGTCAATCTATCTATCCATCTATCTATCTATAAAGATTTATTTTAAGGCATTGGCTTATATGATTCCAAAGCCTGAAAATACGAAATCTGTAGGTGAGGCCAGCAGGTTGGAAATTCAGGTAAGAGTTAATGTTGCAGTCTTGAGTTCAAATTCTGCAGAGCAACAAGCCAGAAACTCAGGCAGTAAGAAGAATCCCTTCCCTGGGAAACCTTGGTCTTTGCTCTTAAGGCCTTCTACTGATGGATGACTCTCACTCACATTATGAAGAGTAATCTGCTTTACTTTAAGTCTACTGATTTAATTATTAATCATATCTAAAAGTTATCTTCACAGCAACAACTAGACTGGTGGTTGACCAAACAACTAGGCACCATAGTCTTGCCAAGTTGGCACATCAAGTTATCAATGACAATAGCGTATGAGAGAGTGGTCTATAAAATGTAAATCCTGCTCTTCAATGCCATTATCTCCATCCTTCCACTTTACTCTATAGTCTCCACACTAGCAATCCCTCAACTGTTGGTCCTACTGGCTTTGTACTTTCAATTCTTCCCCACGTGCCCTTATTCTTTCAGTACTCCAACTTAGATTCCACGTCTTGGCATTATAACTCTTCTGTCACAAACACCCTGACTTCCTCAGTCCCTCCCTCCCTCCCAAGGTTGTGCTTGCCTGTGAAGGCCCAAGTCGTAGTTAAATTCAACTATCCACTCACTCCACTTCTGTACTTGAGTCACTGAGTGTTATTGGATTGAAATTACATAGTTGCATTCACAGGACTCACGTCATATTTATGAACACTTATTTCAAATGTCATTCAATACTGCTAGTCACTACATTTCTCTATTGAATTCATTCTTCCATTCTACAAGATGGCTATTTCACATCACATTTTCTCTCTTCAAAGCTCTAAGGACTAATCACTCATACTCTCAGCTGATCACCTTCATAAAGAAAAGAGAGCATTCAAATGAAATCTACTTCATTTTCACAGGACCAGCTTAATAAACCATGGTATCAGGACTTACTTTTTTGACTTCTTATTACAATAGAAGAAGTAAGCTCTCATTTGAGTCCAAACCCTCCACTTACCCCAACTGCATCCCATCTTACTTTCTATAGATCCAAACTTCAATGTTATGAATTTCCTCTCTAACTGGATCACTCTCAGCAGCATATTAATGTGTTTCTAAACTCAAAATTGCACTCCAATTGCAATCACATTTCTCTGTTCTTCTGAGTGTCAAAACCCTTCAAAATAATGGTTAATACTCATCCCCCATGTTGTCTCTTCACATTACTTCCTCATCCCACTTCCAGGCTTTTCTATCCTTTATACCACTGAGATGGCTCTTAACAATTTCACTGAAAATTACATCTTGCCAAAGACAATAATCAATTTCGGCCATCCTTGTTTGAACTCTCAGTAGCATCTTAAGACTGAGTTGATCTTTACTTTTTGAGACATTTGATTACATAGCTTTCAATAAAACCGTCCTCAACTGGTTTTCCTTCTATCTCAGAGTCTCTTTCTTCTCAACCACCTTTGATGTATATTCCTTCTCTTCCACTTTAAGTATTGAGGTGACCCAAGAATACTTTCTCCACCTATGTCTTTTCTCTCTTCTTTATTTACATCCTTTCCTAGGTAATCTCATTTAATCCCAGGCACTAAATTCCTCCAGCCCAAATCTCTTCCTTAAGTTCCATGCTCTGATATCCTATTGCCTACTCAACATCTACACTTGCTGTGTAATCATCATCTCTGTCCCAATATGGCTGAAACTGTGACAATGTTTTCACTCTTCCTCAAATTGGCTTTTCTTTCCCCATCCAGCCCTGCCTCCAATCCCATTTTAGCATTTCCTGTCTCTCCCATCTGGTTGCTCAAGCCCAAAACTTCACTGTCATCTTTCTCTTTCTTGTGCACCCTAAATTCAATCCAGCAGTAAGCCTTGTTGCCACTACCTCCAAAACATACCTTAAATATGACAATTTCTCATCATCTCCCTTTCCACAAGACTAGCGCAACCACCACTCTATCTCCCTGAACTATTTGTTTGCCTGTTTTTGCCCCGAGAGTCCCTTCTCTCATAGCAAACACAATGATCTTTCAAAGCACAAATCAGGTCTAGTTGTTCCTGCTTAACACTCCACAATAGCTGCTAGTGGGAGATTTAGATTATTTTGCACTTAGAAAATAATGCAAACTCTATCCTGTCAAGTTGCTTCTTGATCTTTCTGTCCCCTGCCTCCCTTTCTGACGTCATGCCCTTCACGTTTCCTCTTCTGTTCACTCTATTCTATTTTATCTTCTTTATAGCATTCTTCTGTTCCCTCAAAGAATCTTAATTATTGGTTTACTTGTTTTATTGTCTGTAAATTTCCACCTGAGTGTAAATTCCACAAGCATATTTCTTTCTTATTCCCTGCTGTACCCTGTGTACTTAGATTAATCACTGACACTTTGGAAGCACTAGTTAAATATGTGTTTGCTGCCCATCTTCTGTTTTCCCACTTTTGGTAGAAGTGTGCATAAAAGAACTATTCTACTTTCCTCTGTACTTTACTATAAGAAGACAGCAACTCATCATTACAACCAATTAAAATCAACATCCAACCTTGCTGAGGGGACATTAGGGACTGGAAGGATCTGTGGAGATTAGGAAAGCATACATCTCATGCAAAGGAGATGGCTGCTGTTCAGCATTGGCCAACACTTACCCAGACGGAAGATGAGTCCAGGGTCACAATACGTTCAATTTTATTTACTCTTTAGGAAGCCTCAAGTTCTGATTTTAAGTGATATCTCTAGATTTATGAATATTCATAATTAACTCTATTTTTTTAAAACCCTGTATGAGGACCAAACATAACCCATTTGCAGAATGGTTTTAGTTTGTGGCCTCTCGTTTTTCAGCCTTTACTGTAGGATGATTTCATGGCCGAGGAAAAAAAGCCTAAAGAGACTTAATTGAGTGTCATGACTGATGAGGAGGAGGACACTGGAATCTCTAGGTAACTCTGAGAAGCTTCACCAGTTTCAGAGTTTTACCCCTAAGTAGGGCCTGACCAAGCATTGTGGAGTTGGGCCAGAATAAAGTCTGAAGCCACAGCCTACACAGGCAACTTTCAAAAGGACAGAGACATTTTGTCTTCCTGCAGGACACTGGTTTTCTGTGGTCCACAAAAGCAAAAGTCACAGAGAAATAAGAGGAAGGTAAAAACAGCCAGAGACTTCTTGGGTGATGGGGGGCAGGGCAAGCAGCACAGAAATCAAAATTCTGCACCTAGAGTTTGAGGGGACCTGGAAACTCATCTAATTCAGCCTCATACTTGCCTTAAGCTCTCACATTCTGTGATCAGAACAAGCTGGAAAGTTATCTTGAGAAATGTTAACATACATTTATAAAGAACAGTGACAGGGGCCTGCCCTGTGGCGGAACGGTTAAGTTTGCACTCTGCTTGGTGGCTCAAGGTTTTGTCAGTTCAGATCCTTGGTGCGGATGTGGCACTGCTCATCAGGCCATGCTGAGGCAGGATCCCACATGGCACAACCGAAGGACCTACAACTAAAATATACAACTATATACTGGGGGGCTTTTGGGAGAAGAAGCAGCAAAAGAAAAGAGAAGATTGGCAAGAGATGTTAGCTAAGGTGCCAATATTTAAAAAAAAAATTAAAAAAAAAGAACAGTGAGTATGTCTCCTCCTCCATTTAGATGACTCACAAAGGTTTAATGTTTCAATTCAGTTCCTTTCAATTTAAATAAGCAAACATTCTCTGATGTTTTCCTATGGACTACACACAGTGTTTGTTGCTGTAAAAACAGCTGAATTAAATAATACAGGTTTTGCCCTTAATGAGAAAAATATATTCTCTACCCCTCTTCTTCCCTGTCACTTGGGGTCACTCCCTCATCTTCAGAGCCCCTTTGGAGGAGAATCCGAGAGAATCATTGGCAATTACAAAAGCCTTCTACGTGGCGTCGATTGATCTATCATGTTCATGTCACGTTTCTATCACCTTGACTGCAAGCTTCCGAAGGGGAAGAACTTCATTTCGAACGTCTCTTTTTCACTTCAAGGACCTTGCATGGGTTGGGCCTCCAGGATTTTCTAATTATCCCATGTTGGCGGATGGACCACCTTAAAACCTCTATGCCAATCGAGGACACTTGCCACTGGAGTTTGCCCAGGAAAGGGCATAAATGGACAACTGGCCAAACTTAATTTTTTTTGTCATCATCCCTCCTAAAGTAGGAAGAAAAATGTTTACGTTCCCACATGGGAAGATCTATTTTTTAGACTAGCTGGCTGTTTTCAGAGTTTCAGCAGAAATTCCAACAAAAGTAGTACCTTCTCGGGGGTAAGCTGCACAGAAAATGGTAGTAGAGCCTCAGTCTGGGAGTTCTGGGGAGTCATGGCTTTTCTCACAGCCACGAGATTTAAAAGAACCTCGGTGGTATGTGTTCTACCTCTTTCCCATCTTGGACATGGATAATAAATTCCACTATCAGACAGAACCAATCTGCCTTCAAAGTTGATTGAGATCAAGTTTCTCGCTAGAAGAAAACAGCAGGACGTGCCTCAGAACTGAGGAGAGTCACCTCTCCATTCAGAACAGGCAGAAAGAAGCTTGTGATGAAACAACACACTTGAAACTCAGTATGGGCTCCCCTCACACTGGGCTTTAGCCAATGAAATGCTGTGAATATCAAAGCTCTTAATTAATGCATTTAACACTTCTATTAGGCAAATTCATCTGTTTAATCTCATTTATACTAAGAAACAGAGAGAAATTAAATCACTCAGAGTCATAGAAGCTGAGGAAAACAGGCTCAGCCACAGTCAGTCTTACCTAGACCATTTGCAGGGAAAACAGTGGCTCTACACCCACAGAATCCATTTTAAACACCTCCCTCTCTGCTGTGCTGGTCAGTGTCCCTTCTGCGTTACTCCTGAGGAATGAATGGGGGCCTGTAGAATAAACCTAGAAGTAATGAGAAAGAAGGCTTTGTGACTCTGTGAGTTTCAACAGACAAGAAGGGCCCAGAAATCTTGGATAACCCCAGCAGGCCTAAGTTTTATTTGTGCACTTGCACAGGAAGTAAAGGGGACTAGACCCCAGATTGTCTCACTACGCAACTTCATACATTGTCCCCTTTGAGTCTATCCTCTCAACAACCTTCTGACATAGATCTATTAACCACATTTTACAGATGAGTAAGCCATAGCTCAGAGAGGTTAAACAAATAGCTGAAGCTATTAAGCAACAATATTGTGATTTGAAATGATTTCAGAGTTCATCCTCTTTGCATGACTCCAGTCACCTTCCATACAGCAATTAATAAGCTATGTAACCTTGGAAAAATTACTTCACCTCTCTGGGTCTCTATAAAAATGAAGGAGTTGGAATCATATCCTGGCAACTGTAAAATGTCTGTAGCTCTGGAGGGGAACTACTTTTCTATTTGGCACATTGTGGGCCAACCCTGTAAAGAACTGTGGAACGTCTGAAATTTTACCCTCCTTGAAAGCTAATAAGTGAACCTGCCACCATTTCGTAGATATTGGCAGTAAAAATGCTATTCCTGGGTCAGAGACACAGGACATTATTACTCACAGCACAACAGGCCACATGAGCTTTAAGTTTTTCATCAGTTCCTCTTGCTCCCCAAGTCCCACATAGTGATGCGAAGAGACCCAAGTGGATGCTACACGTATTGGATTTGTGTCACTGCTGAGTAACCTGAGCTCAGGATGCCCAGTCTTATAAAGTGGCTGCTAGCAAATCTCCCCAACGTTTGCCCCAGAGGGAGATACGTGATGCTGGTAAGGAAACAGATCTGCCCTCTGTCTTAGAATGAGATAGTACCACTATCTTTGGACGTTGTTTGCTACATGGACATCCTTGGAAGCATAGTCTGCAACAGAAGCTGAGAGAAGACTTGTAGAAACACCACGGAGAATCATCTCTCAACAAACAGTGCTGAAAACCATGAAGTGCTGTGGCCAGGTTTGAGACCAGCGCCCTCTCTGGTTCAGTTCAACACCATATGAGCAAAGCTTACCTGAAAGTTTACTCTGTGCTGGGTACGGAGTTAACACTGTGGATAAAAAGATGAATGAAGCAACTTACATGGGAGAGACAAGTGAGTAAAGGCATCATTGCCCTACCAGTCATAAGGCCTGGGACAATGTGTAGCACAGGTTAATGAGCGAGCAGGGCAGAGGTACATTTAACATAGCCCACAGGTTAGAGAAAGCTGACACCTGAGCTGAATCTTCAGAATTTGCAAGAATTTGGGGATGTGGAGAGATGTATTTCTAGGTGGAGGGAATAGCTTGAGTAAAAAGTGCTGACAGATATTCAAGTAAACACAAGAGGCTCTGTCTTGCGAAAATGTCAAGTGTAGGGCAAGGAGGGGGTGGATGCTCTTGGCTAAGTCAGCAGCGCTTGAGAATAAAAGTTCTTGTTCACAAAAATGCCTAGAGTTTGTCCTGAAAAAAAAAAAAAAAAGAAAGTAATGAAGGGTTTTAGGCAGTTGAAGATGATTCTGGATGCTGTAAGGAGAATAGATGCAGAGTTTGATGCCGAGGGCCTGGAGTACGGTTAGGAGGCTGTTGCTTTTCTCCAAGAAAGAAACAAATTAGAACACTAGCAATTGGGCTAGGAAAAGAAAAAAAGACACAATGACCCAGAGTCTTAGACCCTTAGTAAATTCACTGTCAGGTAGACAGAACCAGTGACTTTTTATGGAACAAAGGTGAAATGACTGATTCCAGTAGAATTTGGAAAAAAATCTTACTACCTTTGGATATCAACCGGTAGTTAAGCATAGAAGACTGGGGGCAGGAAGACTTGGGTTTGGGATTTAAGCTCAGTCACTTAACAGCTTTGTTATTGCGAAAATGTTACTTAACTTCTCTGAGCCTAAATTCCCTTATATGTACAATGGGGAAGGTAGTAATACCTATGACATAAAGTTGTTGTGAGGATTAAATAAGGGACAAAATAAAAGCATGTAAAGTACACAGCACAGTGCCTGAAACATAGTGAATGCTCACAAATATTAGGTTTACTATTATGAGCCAGAAAACTCCCATTACCTCTACTCTCTGCTCCCTGAAATTCAAGCAGTAGCAGGTTGGCATGTATATGTACATCATTCATGATTATTGCTTGTTAAATTCATCAAGGTGATAGTTTTGGGCGTCTTAGATCTTTTTCTTTTTCTTTTTTTTTTTTTTTTGCTGAGGAAGATTGGCCCTGAGCTAACATCTGTGCCAATCTTCCTCTATTTTGTATATGGGATGCCACCATAGCATGGTTTGATGAGTGGTGTGTAGTTCTGCACCCAGAACCCAAACCCACAGACCCCAGGCCACAGAAGCAGACTGTGTGAACCCAACCACTACACCACTGAGCCAGCCCCATCCTAGTTCACCTTTAATACACTCACTTAATATTCCCACTCAAGAATTAAACTACATCCCCTAAGGACATTGACTACACTAGTTCCAGTTACTTCAAGTGGTAAAAGTAACAAAACTTCATTTCTATAAAAATAGGACAAAATGTCTATTTTCACTAATTATAATCAGCCTTTCCCCCAAATAGTGTGAATTAGTAAAGCATAAGGACTTATTGAGATCTAAGGCTTATTCAAAAGATTAAAATAGCTTTTCCTGTTGACTTAAAAAAATACATACTGTTTTCTAAATGTCATTTTACTCTCAATATTCTTATAATTCTATATTTTGCCGGGAGGCAAGAAGTGAGCACTACTGGAACTAAGCTTCTTTAACCAAACTGGGGTCAAGTTTTCACTGACTGTGTAGCTTTGAAAAAGTTAATAACTTCTCTGAAGTTCAGGTTTCCTCATCGCACTCCTCATATCTACTTTGCAGAGTTGAGGATTACATGAAGGGTGATGAGTAGGATGGAGTAAACAGAGGCAATTCCTTTCAAATGTATAGAAAAAGAAAGATATAAGTTCCTCATGTCCTCATGGCTTTGGCCCCCAGTATCTATGTTTTACTTCAACCATCATGGTCCCTCTGGCCTCAATTCCTCCTGGATTAGCTGGCTAATTGTCTTGGAAGTTCCAATTTAAATTAATGAAACAGGAAATTGAATTTATCCAGCTCAAGTTTGTGAATGAGGTCATTGTACAGAGATTGAACTCCAGACCATCGGACACACTGGTCTTCGGTCAAATTCCCACCCTGCTGCAAATACCTACCCTGGGTGTTATTTGAGTGGGGAAGGAGGGACATGTCAACTCGTAAGAAATGTGGACACCCAGGAGGAAACTTCAGTGTAGTCTTTGGGCAGAAGAGTTCTCCATGTGGGTTGTGGGTAGGCACAGTGATTGGCACACAGAAGGACGTCTAGGAGTGTTTGTTAATGAACGAAGTTCTATTTCCAGATTTACATGAAATTATTTATTTCCAAAGTTCTTCTCTGGAGTATAGTTTTAGATATTTAGCTTCTGTACAGGTTGGGCCCAAAGCATGTATTTCTTACCCCTCCACTTAAGAGTCACAGAATCCACCACACATCTGGGATTCAACCTCTTCCTCCTTTCTGGGCAGATAACTTCCCAGGTAGGCCTGGTTTTGATGTTAGGGGTGGGGGCTGTTAAGGAATATAGGTAATTCATATACAGAAGTAATTGTCTCAGAGAAGATTTTCCTCCTTTTGTTCTGAGCCTGACCATGGAGCTCAAATCCAGTCAAGGCAGAACGAGTCTTCAGGCACCCAGCTCTTGTTCCGTACATAGGAGGACAACAACACACAAACCTCTTTGGTGTTTCTTTACACTCTTCTACTTTATCTTCCCCTACGGGAACCCTGTCAATACTGTTGTTCTTTGCATATGGTCACCTACCTCTAGCTTAATCAATTTGGCCTGGTTTGCCCAGTAACCCCTTCAGTCCTGAGCAAACTGAGATTGTCATTCTACTTACCTCATGCCTCTTTTTATTCCAGAGGTCATGACTCACCTTATTGCACACCTGCTCCTCTTCTCCAGTTGTCAGTCATATAGCATCTATTTACCATGGTATGACATGTACACTCAATTCTTATTCCATAGCCTGTACAATAAATGTTGGCAGCTCTGAACCAACCCAAGGCTTCACGTTGGCTCCTTGGTGATTTGTTATCTAGCCAATGTGGCACCATTAAAGTGATACCCCAAATCCGAGGCACTTTATTGACACCTTGATAACCTATTGCACCATACGAAACTTCCCTAATGAACACCTTTCTCCTATTTTCTGATAGTCATAATTCCCAGGCATTATGATTTCATGTTGACTCCAACCCTTATAGTCGATTGGAATGATTTAATGGGTTTTAATCACTTTGAAGTTTGTATTTAACATTATTCCTCCTGGGATCTTTAAGAGACTTGAAGAGAGATGCAACTCTTGATACAAAAGATTGGCTCTCTAATTGTGCTCACAATCAGTATGGCACATGCCAGCGGGTAGGGCCATGTTGGGGTACATGCTTATTTCCTCTGAATTTGTGGTGCTGTGCTTTCATTTTTCAAGGCTACTATGGAAGTGGAGAGTGGTGACAGGGACTAGGACAGGGGGATGACCACAAATCCCCCTGGTCTTCCTGAAATTCAGCTGCTTTTCTTGAATAATGTTCCCCAGGTTGCTATAAGCCTTTGGTTACTCTCCAGATTTCTGAAAAAAAAAAGTTAATTATAATCTTTTTGCTAGTCTTTTAAGTTGCTTTTAAGGAGGGTGGAATATTCAGAGGTTCTTAACTCCAACATTTTTGCTCACATCACCTCTTTATTAGATTTTGAACTCTTTAAGAGAAAGAGAATTGTCTTATTCATCTGTGTATTTATAGTAATAATTATAGGGCTTAAAACACATGGAATGATCAATGTATTTAGGGAGAAGTAAGAAAGAGATGGAGGGAGGGAAAAAGGCAGGGAAATAAAAAGGGAGAGAGTGAGTGAG